AGAGGAGTTATTCTTTTCCCTTAAAGGAAAGATATTTTCTTGGTTTCTCTTATTTCTTATGCCTCTGCAGTGGTTTCTGGTCATTTTATGGATTATACTCTTTTTCCTAGTTTTTGGAGATAAATCTGAACTTTCAGAGGAATGCAGGAGGAGGTGACATGCAGTCTCTAAATAGCACCATTTTGCTCACTTTGCACACCTGATTCAATGAAAATTGAGGATTAATCTGATCCTGAAAGTATTCAGATATTTGGCTACTGAGCTTCTAGGCCTTGTGACAGCTGAGCAGAAAAGTGAGAAAGATAAAAAGGAAAAGAAAAGGAAAAAAAAGAGAAACACTCTGAACTCAAATATAGATGGTTGCTGATTGACATTTCCTATAGAGGTAGGGGGAAAGGTAAGAATTTAAAAGAATGGCAGGGAACTGAGAAGTTTAAAATTTATTTTTAATATTAAAAATAGAGAGAGAGAGGGACCATTAGTTGGCATAATGTCTATGTTGCTGAACTCCCATGTAGCCGACTGTGGTTCAAGTCCCGGACCCAGTGGCTTAAACTCACTCTGGGTTTATGTGCGTGTGTGCCCAAGATTCTAAGAGGAGAATGGAGGAGAAGGGATTGTGGCATGGCTACCCCCCTGGGGGGGATTTCTCGCTTTCTATCTCTCTGTCTCTGTCTTTCCGGTGAGCACACGTGCCCTATAGCAAAAACCTCTCAAAAAGAGAGAGAGAGAGAGAGAGAGAGAGAGAGAGAGCCTGAAAGAGAAGTAGAGAATAAGTAGGGTGCTCTAACCTGACTCCTTGGCCAGATCTGGGGGATGGGAAGGTGCAGTATGGGCAGAGGGTCTTTGGTGGTTTGTGATGGAGACACAGTTGTTGCTATCTTCCAAAACTGATGTCATTGTCCCTTCAACCAGGAGAGAACTGTGTTCAAATGCTGTAAAACCAAGCGTAATTCTACAATACTTGGCTTTATGACACTTGTGACAAAGCACTTGGGAGTTTTATACTCATCATGTTCATTAAGAATTGTCATTTCGGGGGTCACCAGGTGACATGGTGGTTTATATGCTGGGTTCCCATGTGATCAACCATGATCCAAGTCCCAGAGAGAGTAGCTTGAAAATCACACTTAGTGTGTGTGCATGTGTGCCCAAAATCACAATAGGAGTATGGAGGAGAAGAGATAACAGCATGGCCATCTGCCCCAGGATGATTTTTCAATTTCCCTCTCTCTGTGTCTCAGTTTCTCTCTTTCTACAGCAAGTACAAGCAACCAATCACAAAAAACTTAAATTAAAAAAAAAAAGAACTGCCATTTAATCTTTCATTTATGCAACATTGGGTAGTTAGAAGAGATATACATAGACTGCTTTATGTGCAATGGACTGAAGTTAGAAACTTACATGGTTTATTTCTTTTAATTTTTACACAATTCCAGTCTACTGAGACACACTATTAGCAAATTCACTCAATATTGCAGAAAACAGCCTCAGGATAGTTAAGACATGAACCAAGTCAGAACGGAGCTTTGATTGAAACTTCATCAAGATATTTGCAGTTTTAACCATGGGACAAAAGAAAAGGAAATATAAGTCCAAGAAAAAAAGTGAAAGATGTCAAAACTTCAATTTTAAAAGAAAAGATAGTTTGTGAAGTTTACCTTTTTGAAATTTTATTATTTTGATTTTGATGTTATTTTATTTACATTACATAACATTGCATGTTTCTACAACATTATATATTTCTACAACATACAATGTGGGTTCTCAAAGCATAACTGCATTCCATGTTTAGCAAGTCAAAGATACTTACTTTTCATTCCTGTGTCTTTAAAATTTTCTTTGTTCTTTTTCATTTATTACTTTTAATTAAGCTTTTTATTTGGGGACAATTATTGATTAATGTGCATTGGTAATAAATAATACAGAGAGACCCACATGTCTTTTACTAATTTTCCCCAGTGGAAACATCTTGCAAAACCATAGTACAATAGCATACTATGATATATAAGTTTATAAAACAGAACAGGGACCAGTAGATGGCATAATGGTTATGTCACTAGACTCCCATGTAGTCGACCATGGTTCAAGTCCTAGACCCAGTGGCTTAAAATTCAAACGGGGCACATGTGAGTGTGTTCACAAATTCCCAAGAAGAGAATGGAGGAGAAGGGATCATGGCATTGACACCCCCTTTGGGGGTGATTTCTTGCTTTCTGTCTATTTGCCTCTCTCTGTCTCTCCACAAGCACATACACACTATAACAAAAAATTCTCTTTAAAAAAAAAATCCAGGACAGTTCCTTTAAGATAGGATGGTTGGTTCTGCCTTCTTACAGCCATGTTCATCTCTCTCCATATCCAGTCATTGAACTCTAGTAACCACTAAAGTATTCACTATTGATACAATATTATCATTTCAAAATATTTTACAAAATATAAAAATATCTGCTAGGAAAACAGTACAGTAAATGATTCTAGGAGCTGTTTTTCGGGGTGACTATGATATGCATTGTGGACAATAAGCTAAACCAAATACAGGATATGAAAAATTAGACTAGGAATCTTTGGCTCAAAGATTTAAATATAAAGTGAAACTATAAAACCACTGGTAGAAAACTCTTGAAGACATTGAAATAGAGAAAAGATTTCTCAAGACCCATTAAAGCAAAGGCAAAAATAGGAACCAGCAGTTGGCATAATGGCTATGTTGCTGGACTCCCATGTAGTCAACTTCAGTTTGAGTCCTGGACCCGGTGGCTCAAACTCAAGCCAGGAGCTTGTGTGTGCGTGCCCAAGATCCCGAGAGGAGAATGGAGGAGAAGGGATTGTGGCGTGGTCATTCCCCTGAAGGGGTGATTTCTTGCTTTCTCTCTCTCCATCTCTCTCTGTCTTTCTGGCGAGCGCAGACACCCCATAGCAAAAACCTCTCAAAAAAAAAAAAATGCAAAGGCAAATATAGGCAAATGGGATTTTATTTACCTAAAAAGCTACTTCACACAAAGAAAACAACAACTACAGTGAAAAGACAACTCTCAGAATGGGAGAGAAAATTTGCACATTATTTCTCAAGCAAAGGATTGAAAAACCAGAATATACAAGGAACTCAAACAGCTCACTCTTTTTTTTTTTTTTGGAGAGGTTTTCGCTATAGGGCGTGTGTGCTCACCAGACAGACAGAGAGAGACGTAGAGACAGAAAGCGAGAAATCATCCCCCAAGGGGAATGGTCACGCCGCAATCCCTTCTCCTCCATTCTCCTCTCAGGATCTTGGGCACGCACGCACATGTGCCCGGCGTGAGTTTTAAGCCACCAGGTCTGGGATGCGAACCGCGGTCGACTACATGGGAGTCCAGTGACATAGCCATTATGCTAACTGCTGGTTCCCATACAGCTCACTCTTAAAGAAAATGAATAATCCAATATAAAGTGGGTCAGTCAGGACCACCATGTCATGTGGTGCATAAAATGCTGGACAACCACGTGCCTGAGAGCAGTTCGAGTTCTGGACCTGGCAGTTTGCTTTCTTATTCTCCTTATTTCTGTCTCTCTGTATCTGTCTCTCTCTGGTCAAATTGAAGAATAGCCATAAGTAAAATTAAATAAACAGTTCTAGAAAAAGCAATGGGCAAATCAATTAAATAGACAACTCTCAAAGCAAGACTCACAAATGGCCAAAATGCATATAAAAATTCTGTTCAAGTTCATTTATCAAAAAGGAAATGCAAATTAAATCTACAATGAGATGCCATCTAAAGCAAGATAGAATGGCTAGGCTCAAAAAATTAAAGAACAAGTTCAGGTGAGGCTGTGGTGAAAAGTGAACCCTCTTATATTGTCCTTTGGAATGTATATTTGTACAACCTCTTTGTAAAACAATAAATAAATTCCTCAAAAACCTACAAATAGAACTACCATGTGAACAGTAATCTCACTATTTGGTATTTATTTAAAGGACAGGAAAGCACTCAGACAGAAAGACACTTGCACATGCATGTTTATTGTAGCATTATTCACAATTGTTTAGACATGGAACCAACCTAAGTGACCAAACACAAAAGACAAAGTTGAAAAATGGTGGCACATATATACTATGGTATAATACTCAGCCATAAGAAACAATAAAACCCCAACTCCTTGATTCAAAGTGGATGAATATAGAGAATTTATTATTAACCAAAGTGAGTCAGACTTTGAAAGAGACACGTCATATCCCCACTCAATATTTACTGAATGTCTGTACTATATGGCAGAAATGGAAAAATCCAAAGACATGATAGTAGAGAGGATAAATGTAGCTACCAGAGATTGTAAGAGAGGGCAGTGGATGGTTCAAAGTGGTCAGAGGAGAAAACAGAAGAAATAATTAACATGAAAGATTGTAAAGTTCTCTGTTAAAAAAATAACTAATATTTTATTTTTTTAAAAAAATTCTAACTAGTTATAAAATACACTGGATGCCAAAGTCCACATTATCATGAACAGTTAACATCCTAATATATCATGGAATGATGAACCCAAAAGTGAAAAACTGTGACCTTGAATATTTTTCTCCCTCAAAGGATTTAAATGAACTTACTTTCTAAGCACAATTTGTTGGTTTGTTTGCTTGTTTTCAGGAAGGAGTACAACTCAGTACTCTAGCTTCAGTAAAATAAAATAAATATTATCGGCTATGACTTATGCCATTTGAGAAGATATTATTTGTACTAAACTTACAGTGTCCCATGGGATGGAAGAGAATTTCAAATAATTTTTCTGTGAGATTTGAAATGACTTTGGTAAAGTGGAAAAATGGCAAAGAGGAAAGCTGTTGATTATCAAAGAGAGTAGAGATCTTATTTTAATGTCTTATTAAAATTATACAAAGAGATTGAAATCAAAGTAATGGAAACTACAGGCACACATAGGAAAAACAAGTTCTACTCTCAAAATCTGACCAAGAATTGAGAAATTATCTCTGAAGCATTGCGACTTGTAATTAGGGCAATGTCTTCTTTTCAAGAAAAATCAGTCCTTTTATCCTTTGCTCCAAATAATCTTTTCAGGGCCCTCTTTATGTCTTTATTCCTCAGACTGTAGATAAAGGGGTTCAGCATGGGGGTGACCACAGTGTACATCACCGAGGCTCTTTCACTTGAGTGTGAGCTGTGGGTAGCAGCGGAACTAAGGTACACACCCAGACCTGTGCAGTAAAATAATGAGACAACTGAGAGGTGAGAGGCACAGGTGGAAAATGCTTTGTGCTTCCCCTGAGCTGATGGAATTGTGTGAATGGAGGAAACTATCTTACAGTAAGAATAAAGGATCCCAGAGAGTGGACCGCCACCCAGCAGCAGAGATGTAAAATACATTACCATGTCATTAATAAAGGCATCAGAGCAGGCAAGATGAACCAGCTTAGTAAAATCACAATAGAAGTGGGGGATTTCCACACGTGTACAGAAGGACAGCCTCAAAGCCATTAGGCTATGTAATAATGCATGCAGGGCACCTATGGTCCAGGATGCCAGAGCCAGTTGCCCACAGAGCCAGGGGTTCATGATGACAGAGTAGTGCAGGGGGTGACAGATGGCCACATACCGGTCATAGGCCATCACAGTCAGGAGTAAGTCATCAAACACTACAAAGAGAAGGAAGAAGAACATCTGGGTGATGCAGCCTGCATAGGTGATGACCTTGCTCTGTGTCTGGATGTTCACCAGCATCTTTGGGACGGTGGTGGAGGTGAGACAGATGTCTGTAAAGGAGAGGATTGAGAGGAAGAAGTACATGGGGGTGTGCAGGTGCGAGTCTGAGGTGGTGGCCAGGATGATGAGCAGGTTTCCAAAGACAGCGATCAGGTACATGGAGAGGAAGAGTCCAAATATTAGGGGCTGCACTTTTGGTTCCTCTGAAAATCCCAAAAGTAGAAATTCTAAACATTTTGTGCTGTTCATTGGTTCCGTGGGATGGTCGTGACTATCAGGAAACAGAAAATGTAACATGATTACTTTGGACACAATTGGGTTTCATTCATGTATTTGTAATGCTACAATGCATTTCCAGGGGAAGATATAGTTTCTATATTTTACCTGGACTGTATAGTTTACCTGGTCCTTATTGCAGCCTTAAAATATTGGTCATTAGGGATTTGTGTCCTACTTTGAGCATTTTCACCAAAATTTCACCTATTTTACAATAGTATTAAGAAGGTCACTGGGACCTGTAGATTGCACAATGGTTACATTGCTGGACTCCCACATAGCAACTATGGTTCAAATCCCAGACCTGGTGGGTTAAAATCTACCTAGAGGGCTGAAAGGTGGCATGGTGGTTAAGGGCACTGAACTCCCAGATGGCAAATTGCAGTTCGAGTCCGAGACCTAGAGGCTTGCTTTCTCAGTTTCTCTCTCTCTCACTCTGTCCCTGTCTGGTCAAATTAAAATAAATTAAGAAATAAAGTCAAATAAAATAATTTCTTAGCACAAAACAATAAAACTCACGCCAAGCATGTGTACTTGCATGCTCAAATCTCAAGAGGAGAAGGGATTGCAATGTGGCCATCCTCCCTAGGGAGAGATTTCTTGCTTTCTGTCTCTCACTACCTCTGTCTCTGCAGGAAGCACATGTGCCCTGTAGCAAAAATCTGTCTAAAAAATTTTAGGAAAACAAGGTCACTGTTGGAAAAATCAGGTAATGTACACAAGATCTCCCTATATTGTTTCTTACTAGTACTCGTAATCTAAAACTTTCTCAATCAGACCTTTAATAAAACAAAGAAGTTATTTCTTGCATTTTAAGAACATATATTGATTGCTGACCATGTTCCAGACACTGTCTAGGTGAAGACTCTAGGATGCTGAAAATCAAAATCCTGACATGCCCATGATGGAGAAATAATATGGGCAGGTAAGAAAATAGTATACTTACCACCGTGATTGAGCTAATGTCACCACGTGTATTCACGTACATGCCAAATTCATCAGATTTCACATTAAATATAGGCAATCTTTTCTCTATCAGCTTGATCTTATTAAAACTCTTTATTACTCATATGATCAAATGCAAAAAAATATAGGTCTGAAGATATGGTAACAGAAAGGGTAGTGTAGCTAATAAAGACTGTAAGCGAGGGGAGTGCATGGTAGACGATGGATGGGAGAGGCAAAGGGAAGAGACATTTAACAGACAAAAGAATGTGAAGTTCTCTTCTGAGAAAATCGAGTTCTATAATTTGTGCTTTATAAAAAAAATTTAACTTCAAAGTAAGTAAGTAGATAAATAAAATAATCATAGAACATGTCTGGTGGTAAAATGTGATTCAAAGATAGTAAAAGCAAGTATAAAGAAGAAAGTGGATGGGATGCTGTTTATTACAGGGCCCCTGGCAAGACTGGTAGAGAAGATGACATTTGAACTATGACCTCAAGAAAATAGAGCAGGAACCAAATGGTCATGTCTCGGAATCTTACCTAGCAAAGGTAACAGCTGGTTCAAAGGCCCTGAGGGGGATTCTTGTTTGGGATGCTCAAGACCATCAAGGGCCAGTGTGAGGAGGTCAATGAGCAAGAAGGAGCATGATGGGAGATGATGTCAGAGGGTGTTGAACAATGAGGTGGCCTCCCCGTTACTGCTGAAACTGCAGGACACCGGGAGACCTACTCCACACTATGCATCTTGTACACTTTATTAGTTTTGATGCAAAGTCATCCCATTAACTGAAATGTATATGCTTCTTATGATCATCTCATGGGTGAACTCTCCCTCTGTACTGTGAGTCACCTTGAAATATGTGAGCCCTGGTAGCCCTGCTCTGAGGGCTCCTCTAAATCCAAACTCCAAAGCACACACACACACACACACACACACACACACACACACACACACACTGCACAATGACCCTAAGAGCCTGTGTTTTTTGTCCTTCTTACCTCCTAGACACACCAATGAGGCAATCAGTGAATGTAAACTGGCCAGACCAAAGCGTCTTTCCCCTAATAATAATAATAATTTAAAAAAGATATTCAACATTTCCAATGTGGGAACTAGCAGGAGGTTTAGTGGTTTAGGCCCTGGACTCCCACATGGCTAACTGTGGTTCGAGTTCTGGACCTGGTGACTTGATTTCTGACTATCCCTCTGTTTCTCTCTGTCTCTGCTTAATGAGCACATAAGCCCTATAGCAAAATGTAAAATAATAATACATACAATTAAATAAATAACTTATATATATTATTTATGTAATTTTATTATAAATATATATTTATATACGTACATTTGAGAATTTCCAAAGTGTAAGTCTCACTTATTGAGGAACAAATAAAGCAGGCTGGTTTAGGGTATAGCAGGACTGTGGCCATTTGAAATCAAGAAAATCGTCTAGCATTAAATCTTCAATAAAAAAGCCAGACTATGAAATATAGACATTGTATGTCCGCACTTAATGTATTGCAAATGTCTGCACTCCAGGGCAGAAACTGAAAGACTGGAAGGATTAATGTCAGGGAGAGCAACTGTAGGTGCTAGAGACAGTGTAGAATGGGATGGATGATAAGAAGTGGGAAAAAGGGGATGGGAAGGGGCAGATTAAGGAATAAAAACGACACCTTTAATAGATACAAAAATGGAAAATTTTTTGTTTATGATAATGTATATGGTAATGTTTTTTACTTGACTAATAGGCACTGAATTCATGATGGGGAAAACTATGTTTTACATTGTAAAGATGTAAAGTGATTACATCACTAAAGGGATTAAATTTATATTAACTAAATAAATTTTTTAAAAAGAAATAAAGAAAGGTCTCTAACAAGGACAGTCTGGACAAGGACTTCATGGGCAGATCTCTTTGAAGAACAGTCATGGGAAACTAGGAATTGGTGTATAAACGAGTTAGGATAATTACTTGGGGAAAACAATTGACTCTGATGTACTAAGGAGGATTGATTTGTACCTGCTTATATCTTATACCTCGAAATACCACGAATATGTTGAGTTTTTCTAGACAATTTGATGGTGCTTGTTGTCTCTCTCTCTGTATTGGTTACAGAATAAACTCACCTCTCCAGACTCTGCATCTTGTTTCATTGGCCATGAGAAGCAGCAGCCTGACTGAGTCTGGCTGGTAATAAAAGGACTTAAGTTTTATATACTTTGTAAGTTTCTGCTGTGCATTTAAAGAAGCACAGAAAAATTAATTCAATAAATACAGAAAAACAGTGAGCAATGAAATGGACATGAGGAAGGAAAAAAATCCAGTAACTGAGGTGTCCCTGAAAGACCGAGGGGGAATAAAACAAAACCCTCCTGGGTTCTGGTATCATTCCAAACAAAGCTCTATCTCTCTGAACCCAAGGAGAAGAAAAAATGAGGAAAAAAAATAAAAATAAGCACCCAAAGTCAAAAGTAGTGATTTCTTTCTGCTTTCAAATGCATCAGGTATTGAACATGCAAGAGAAAAATGACCAAGAGAAGCTAACAATCACAAAAGAAAATATAGAGTAAAATAAAAGCAGGCATATTTACATACAAAATGGAAGACTTGTCCTTTTGCCTGTTCCATATTACCTTGAGCACTTAGTTTTCATATCGTCCAATTGCAGAAGAGGAAGATACTTTGTTATCAATTAAATCCAACTGCTTCTTTTCATGATCAGTGAAAGGAGAGGCAGAGGCTGTAGAAGAAGAGTTTACTTCTGTAATCAGTTGCAGGGAGACAGATAGAAAGCACCATCAAATTGTCTTTAAAAGATCAACACATTCTCTGTGTTTATAGGTACAAGATACAAGGAGGTACAAATCCAGTCTCGTCATGCTCAATCATAGTCAATCACGTTCACCTGAGTAATTATCCTGAGCCTTCAAATACCTATTCTTGCTTTCTCATCTGACCATTCCTCAAAAAGGTTTTCCCATGACTCAGCACTTGGTCAGGTTGTTCTTATGAAAGGTGTTTTCTCTTTATCTTATTTATTCATTCAATTTTTTGCATTTAATCACTGTGTATTATTCTTATTACAACATACCAAATGAATTTTCCCATCCTGAATACATTGAATACCAGTCCAGTCAAAGACATTACCATTTACATTATTCAACAGATTTCTTTCCATTTTGGTTCCTTAAATATTTTGCTTCTTTCTTCTTCCCCTTGATCCCTTCCATCCTCCCCCATTTTCCACCCTCCTCCCCCACTGTCTCCACCATCACCATTGCTCTCCATGCTTTTATGCCTCCCTTTCATTCAGTTTCTGCGATAGAGTGCAGACATTCGGTATATATTGAGTGGGGACATACAATACCTCGCTTTCATAGTATGACTTGCTTCACTTAGCAGTAAATTTTACATATTTGTTCACATTTTATCAAATGCCAGAGTCTCATTTTTTTTTTTGACTGAGTAGTATTTCAAAGTGTTTATGTTCCAAACTTTCTCAATCCATCTGTTCATGGACATTTGGTTTTGTTCTATGTCTTAGCAAGATCCATGCTTATTGCAGCATTATTCGCAATTGCTAAAGACCTTTCTTAACTTTAGAATGGTTGCAGTCCTGCTGACCTGTCTCACCTTAATTCACTTTTTTCATATGCAATCTCATCTTGTCATTCTTTTTTTTTTTTTTTAGAGGTTTTTGCTATAGGGTGTGTGCGCTCACCAGACAGACAGAGACAGAGAGACAGAAAATGAGAAATCACCCCCCAGGGGGAATGGCCATGCTGTAATCCCTTCTCCTCCATTCTCCTCTTGGGATCTTGGGCACGCACACACATGCACCTGGCATGAGTTTTAAGCCACCGGGTCCAGGACACGAACCACGGTCGACTACATGGGAGCCTGTGACATAGCCAATACGCTAACTGCTGGTCCCCATCTTGTCATTCTTGTACTTAGGATTTTAATCTCTCCCATGAAAATTCCAAAACTGCAAACTAGGATTCTTGGGCATATACCTTTTCACCAACTACATACATTTCATTTTTTTCAAAGATGTGTATCCAGAGTGAGAAAATGCACTTCGAACCTTATGTATGACCTACCTGCTATTGCAAGATGTTATTTGCAAGAAATTCTCACTCTTGGTCTTCCTCATTAACTCTGAATCATACTTGGATGCCTCATCTTAAAAGGAAAATGTGAATGCCTTAATGCATTTCCTCCACAGCTGATTGATATCATATTTTTTTCTTATGTTTTATATTCAACCACTTTATATCTTTACAACATATAAAATAAATTTTCCCAACCTGAAGACACTATATGTGAGTCCAGACATAGAAATTACCGCACATGTTTTCATCAACAGATAATTTTCTGTTTTCTGGTCAGTTGAATGTTTGGCCTTTTTATTCCCCTTGATTTCCTCCCTCCCCCTCTTCCCCATTCCCTATCCTCCTCCCATCCTAGGTATACACAATTGATTCTCACACTTTCTTGCTTTCCAGTCTTTCAAAAAGCAATGATACTATTTGAACAGACTCCTAACCTGTTTCCTGGATTTAAGCAAAGTTCCTTGGTGGTTCTTTAATTTAAGTTAAAACTGGTTTTCTTAGTAGTAACAAGTGAACTCACCTTTGAAAGTAGTTAGGTTATGTAGGAAATTGTGTGATCAATGCAATGTGGGTGGGAAGGGAATGGAGGACAATTTTGGACACTGGAGGTGGTGTGAGAGGAGGGTGGGAAGGGACAGAGGGTCAGAAAGAGGGGTAGAAATAATTCTAGGAACTAGAATTGGAAATTTATTTTTTTTGTAATGTGCATGATTGAGTCACTATGCAGTGTGTACTGGATGGGAGATCGCATTTTGTGTGCTGTGATGATGCTTAGGGAAGGAATGTAAATTGAGTTACAAAAAAAAGTTTCAGGAAAAAAAATATATCTATTCAATGACTGCGGTAGGATATGTAGCCCCAGTTAGGTGCTACTTTATAGGATGCGTAAAGTTAGACTTGTGCTCATGGAAATGTGTGTGCCACATGTGTTTGCTAGGAGGGTATTTGGATTGATTAGGGTCTTTGGTGATTCAATAAAATGTGGGGGGAAAATGGTATAGAAAGCAAACATAGATAACAGAGACAGTGTGGGAGGAGAACAGGAGGTGGCAGAGGGTAAGAGATAGGGAACCAAGGATGGGGGGAAAAAAGCAAAACATACAGAAAACAAGAAATGGAAGATCATTTGCTAAGAATAACATATTTGTTGATGTGCTTGATTGAGACAATATAAGGTGTACTCTAGATGGAAAATCTTATTTTGTATGCTGTAATGTACAGTGAATGAATGCAAATAAATTGGGGGAAAAAAAAGCAATGATGCCCTATACTGCACTCCCTCACTTACAAATCTGTAGTTTGTTCGTTCATTTTTTCTGGGAGCACTGCATTCCTCTCCCATTTTCTTATCTGGGGCCTTTCATCACCATCATTTCATTTTCAGCACTACACCTGACATTGCTGAAATCGATGATCATTTTGTTTCCACTCATGAATACACACAGTAACTGATCTATCAGGAAAGCAAATACCACAACATCTCTGCCCTGGCCAAGGTGGGACTGGCTCTCAGGTGACCTCAGGTAAATGTTCTCAGGTTGCATTTTCTTGGACTCTCTCTGTCCAGTGTCTACCGACTTCTTGGTCTCACCTGTATGGGGTCTCTGGGAGAACGTTCTTCTTGAAGTGCATGTTCCTCTCTGGATTGTCAAAGACTGAGATGGAAGCTCTGTGCCCAGAAAAGACAGAGGAAAGGACTCCAGTGTGAGTCCATTAGGCAGACGGGACTCCCCATAAAAGACAACCTCGTCTCACTAAGCCTAACTGTGCACCCTGATGGAAAACAGCAGAGGATAGTTTCACAGTTCCCTATTTCTCCTCATTAGACACATTTGCCTCTTGGTACAGCAACCTCAAAGCACACTATTTCCCTGTGGAACACTGATCTGGACTGAAAAAAAATTATTCTCAGGACCAGAAGATGGTGTAATGATTATGTCGCTGGACTCCTACATGGTCCACTGAGGTTTGAGTTCTGGACACAGAAGCTTAAAACTCCCTCCAGGCAAGTATAAATGCATGCTTTTTTTTTTTTTTTGAGGTTTTTGCTATAGGGCATGTGTGCTTGCCAGACAGACAGAGAGAGACAGAGAGACAGAAAGCAAGAAATCACCTCCCAGAGGGGATGGCCACGCCGCAATCCCTTCTCCTCCATTCTCCTCTCGGGATCTTGGGCACGCCCACACACGCACCTGGCATGAGTTTTAAGCCACCAGGTCCAGGGTGCAAACCGCGGTTGACTACGTGGGAGTCCAGCGACATAGCCATTATGTTAACTGCTGGTTCCCTAAATGCATGCATTTTGAACATCCTGCCTTGGGTGTTGATTTCTTGCTTCTGTCTCTCTGTCTCTCTGGTGAGCACTCAAGCCCTATATTAAAAATGTCTCTTAAAAAAAAGAAAGGAAAGGAGAAAGAAGAAAGAAGAAAGAAGAAAGAAGAAAGAGAAAGAAAGAAAGAAAGAAAGAAAAAGAAAGAAAGAAAGAAAGAAAGAAAGAAAGAAAGAAAGAAAGAAAGAAAGAAAGAAAGAAAGAAAAAGAGAAAGAAAGAGAAAATAAAGGAAAAAGAAAGGAAAAAAGAAAAGAAAGCAGGAAGGAAGAAAAATGGAAAGAAAAGGGTAAGAAAGAAAGAAAAGGAAAGAAAGAAAGAAAGAAAGAAAGAAAGAAAAAGGAAAGAAGGAAGGAAGGAAGGAGGAAGGAAGGAAGGAAGGAAGGAAGGAAGGAAGGAAGGAAGGAAGGAAGGAGAAAGAAGAGAGAAAGAAAAAAGAAAAAGAAGAAAGAAAGAAAGAAGAAAGAAAAAGAAAGAAGAGAAAAAATTTTTTTCTAATGATTCTCTGCTGTCAAGAGATCAGATTATAAATCAGATTAATCCAATATTTATTCTTCCCTCTAGACGAATGATTGATCCTTCTAGAGGTCAAATTTCCCAGCAATTCTTCTTTCCTCTAGTTAAATTTTTTCAAAATCAAACACTGAATAACCTGTCTTGACTAAGTGCCTAGGATTTTGAAAACAATGGGTTGTGATGGGGAAACAGTTCCTGATATCTTCTGGAAAATGATTTTCCCTCTTCAAAAAGGGAAAACTCTCTCTCTCTGGTATAAAACCATGAGTATTACATGTTTTGGCTTCATGACACTTTTCCAGAAACAGTTACAAATTTTGTGTCTGGGTTTGGCAGGTGGTGTGTTGGTTTAGGTGCTGGCTTTCTACATGGCCAACCATGGTTCAAGTCTCAGATCAGGTGTCTTGCTTTCTCAGTTTTCCTTGTTCTGTCTGTGTCTCTCTCTGATTAGCATGATGCCTTATAGCAATTTTTAAAAAATAATAATAAATAAAATTTTTAAAATGTTAAACATTATTGTATTTTTATTACAAGATCTATTTTTCATCCCTTGTTACAAAATGTTTCATAACTAAAGGAGACATATTTAGATCCTTTAGGTACCATAACCCGAGCTTAGCACTTTATAAAGATTGTCTAACTTAATTTCTATACAAGTCCATTGTATGAAGCAGTATTATTTTATATTCCTTTTTCACTTTTATAGGTTTCACCATAGGATGCATGCACTTGTTGGAGAGATACAGAGAGAAAGAGAAAGAGGAAGTGAGAAATCACTCTTTAGGGGGAAAGTCATGCTGCAAATTCTTCTCTTTCTGTCTCTTCTTCAGATTTTGAGCATTCATGCACGCACACCTGGAGTGATTTTCAAGCCATCAGGTCTGGGAGTCAATTCGTGATCGACCACGTGGGAGTTTAGTGCCTTAACCACCACGTTACCTCTTGGCCCATGAGGTAGTCCTATTATATGTACCACTCTCCATTGGAGAAGTGGGGCTCACATTGCAGCTGGTCAGTTTAGGGTTTAGGAGGACTACAATCATTTTGAAATTTAGAAAGTGTTTAATGAGAACGATCTGACCAAGTGCTGGCTCATGAGGAAATCTGTTTGAGGAGTGGTCAGATGTGAAACTAGAATGGGTAGAAGGAATCAAGATAATTATTCAGGAGAGTGTGATGGTCTCTGGTTGTAGTGAGGAAGGATTTGCAGGTGCTTGTTCTTTGTACTTTAAAGACTGAGAACAAGTTGAGCTTTAGGAAACAGTTTGGTGGTGCTTGCTGGCTATCTCCCTGTTACTGGTTCAAACATAAATTTCCTCTTCTCCAACCTCTGCACCTGATTTCATTGATCATGAGAAGTAGCGAGTGGACTTAGTTGGTTTGTAGCAGTTAACAGTTTACCATTTTGTTCAAGTTATTAATGGAGTAGCATATACAGACTTTTGAAATTCTTTCATGTTGGTTCTAGTTCTCAAACTCTGGCCCAGTGATTTTTAGCTACATAGATTTTTCTCTTGGAAGTATTTAGCAATATATGAAGGGATGCTGTTTAGAACTTATAGTGCACAGGACAGCAGCCAATAGAATAATGACACTGGCCCCAATGTCAGTATATCAACAATGAGAGAGCCTATTCCTGACCAGCACTTCTATAATGTCAGGGTGTATAGGAATCCACAGGGATTTTAGTGTAGATAAAAATTCTGGTTCTGCATGTCCTCTTGGGTCCAGAAATTTTCCATTTCTTTTTTTTAATTATTATTTGATTATGTCTTATTTACATTTAATCATTATACATTATGCATTTCCATAGCACACAGTATGGTTTTTCAAAATATGCATAGATGTTTATTGCAGTATTAGTCACAGTATCTAAGACATGGAATCAATCTAAGTCTCCAAGAATGGAAATCTGAATTGAAAAAAATGTGGCATATGACACTAGGGAATATATCTTAGCCATAAGGAACAACGAGACCCAGTCATTTTATACAATAGGATTAATAAATAGAAGACTTAATGCTAAGCAAAATAAGCAAGGCTGTGCAAGACAAACACTGTATATTCTTATATATATTGTATACACACCCACTATGTATATGTAAACATATGTATATATAAATATGTATGTATAAATATGCATAAATAATACATATATAAATTTATATATGTATATATACACACACACACACTCACACACATTTGGCATATATATATGCACACACATATATATGCCAAATATGCCAAATGTGTCCACTAGGGCACATGAGCTTTCCAGAGATGGACAGATACAGAGATTAGAGAGTGGGAAAGTGAGAGGTCACCCCACCCCCTCAGGAGAGATGATCATATCACAATCCCTTCTCCTCCATTCTCCTCTCAGGATTTTGCACATGCATCCACATATGCCCAGCATGTTTTTCCAGCTGCCAGGTGGGGTACTCAAACCATGAAGTATGGTTATCCTGGGAAGGCCTGAGTTTGGTTTTTGGACCAACCTGAACAGGCTGGAAACAAAGACCTGTGGTCCTAGCTGACTGGGATGGTGGGGCAGGAGGATCATGAAATGATGAGATTCCATTTAAATAGGAATAGTCTGAGTTATCCAGATAAGATTATTGCAATCATCACAGTCCTCTAAATGTAAGGTAGTGAAAGAAACAGCAGAGTGGTATTTTTAAATGCTATCTTGCTGGTTTTTGAAGTACCATGAGCCATGAAATGCAAATGGGCACTAGAAAATGTCAGGAAAAAATAAACAGATTTCTCCTGTAGCCTCCAGAAGGAACTAGGCCTTCTTCATTTCCTTTTTTTGTTTTGTTTTGTTTAACTTGATAGAGTACATGTACACTTATCAGAGAGAGAGAGAGAGAAAACATCCCTCCAGGGAGCAATAGCCATACAAGAATTTCTTCTCCATTTCTCCTTTTGGAATTTTGAGCACACACACACACACACATATGTGTACCCTGCATGTTTTTCAAGCCTGCAGGTCCACAACTCCACAGTTCCATTAGCCACATAGGATCCAGAGATTCCTTGGGACCCTGAGGGACAATAACAGATGATATTGATTTTACTCATTCGCTGCTCTTTTAGTGACTACACCAATATTCAGGAAATAGGGCACGATTTCATTTAGAACAATGGAAGGATTTACATTTGTAGGCAGCACTAGAAACAGATAATTCAATAGTAAAATACTAAAACCTACCAAACAATACTATACACCAAGAAATAGAAGCCCTCACGCACAAGCAAGAATCTGTCTTTCCTCAATGAGTAGATGTACACCTTCAAAAATAATCAATTCCTATAGTAATACAGTATAAATGTACAAGATGTTTTGTTATATTTAAGGTCATCTCTGACTCTAAAGCAGATTAGAACAAATTATTTCAATTTTTCTTTCACATGCACTCCACATGGCAGCATGACTTTGATAATCAGTTTATGCCATGGACTGTAGTGGGTTCAATAAACCCAAAATCAAAATATTGTGGACTGAATAAGAGAACTAGATCTTAATAATGAGAATAAAACCTAGACTTATCAGATGGTATGGAGGTTAAACAAGAATCCGACTTGGCTGAGTGCATGGTTCAATTTCTAGATCTGATGGGTATGTGTGCATGTGTGCCCGAATCTCAAGAGGAGACTAGAATAGAAGGGGGTGCTGTGTACCATCCTTCCAGGGTGGTGATTTTTCACTTTTCCTCTCTCTCTTCTTTTCGCTTCTGTTTCTTTTCCAAGTTTAGAATTAATATATGAAATAGAAAAATGTGCAAAAAATAAAACTGTCCACATATCAAATAGAGCAGAATGTTTAATAAAGCAAGATATTTAAATTGAATGATTAAGTTGCAATGAAACAGAAACTCCAGAAAATATATAGGTGGAGCAAATTTCCAAAATTTGATCACAATAAGTGCTCCCCTCTTTTTTTTAATCTTTGGGTTCAACATCCACAAATATCACAGGTAGAAAATATTTGAAAAAATAAAACAATTTGAAAATAGCTATATGACTGGCCAAAAGGTGGAGCTGTGGTTAAATGCTAGACTCCCACATAGCTGATCTTGGTCTGAGTCCCAGACTCAGTGGCTTGAAAATTGTGTGGGGCACATGGGAGTGCATACCCAAAATCCCAAGAGGAGGATAGAGGAGAAGGAATAGCAGGATGACTCAGAATTGCTCAGAATAATATACACCATTTAAGAATAAATTATTCTTAACAGTTGCATGAGTTGTCATATGAGATAATGAAAATATTAGATTATTTCGAATACAAATTTAGGAATAACTTCGGGGAATTAGAAAACAGGAAAACAAGTTGATATGAGAGAGTATAGAAAGATAGATACAATGTTACTTCAATTGTATAGACAGCTAGAGCCAGCTCATCTTTCACAATCTCAATAGAGAATCACAATTTTTAGCACCAAGGCTTTGAACCTCACAATCATGGACACTACTTCAGCTACAAACCATAGACTAATAGTGTAATAGCGTAATAGTTTCCCACCAAAAGAGTATTTTCAGAGGTCTCTTAATGTCTTTATTCATCAGACTATAGATAAAGGGGGTCAGCATCGATGTGACCACAGTGTACATCGCCAAGTCTGTTGCACTTGAGTGTGAGCGGTGGGAAGCAGCACTAAGGTACACACCCATGCTTGTACAATAAAATAATGAGACAACTGAGAGGCAAGAGGCACAGGTTGAAAATGCTTTGTACTTCCCCTGAGCTGATGAGACTGCATGAATGGAGGAAACTATCTTAGAGTAAGAGTAAAGGATCCCAGCGAGGGGACCACCAGCCAGCAGCACAGATGCAAAATAACTCACCATGTCACTAATAAAGGTATCAGAACAGGCCAGGTGGATAACCTAATTAAGTTCACAGAAAAAGTGTGTGTGTGTGTGTGGGGGGGGTTCCACGTGTACACAAGGACAGCCATAATGCCATCCAGGACACCAGAACCAGGTTTCCACAGAGCCAGAGATTCATGATTACTATGTACTGCAAAAGGTGACAGATGGCCACATACCTGTCATAGGTCATCACAGTCAGGAGGAAGTCATCCAACAATAGAAAAACTATGAAAAAAGACATCTGAGTAATGCAGACTTCACAGGTGATGAACTTGTTCTGTGTCTGGATGTTCACCAGCATCTTTGGGATGGTGATGCAGGTGAAACAGATGACTAAGAAGGACAATTTGGAGATTAAGAACAATGGGCATGTGCAGGTGGGAGTCTGAGATAGTGGCCAGGATGACGAGCAGGTTTTCATACACAGTGATCAGGTACATGGAACAGAAAAGCCCAAATATGAGCTCTAATTGTTCATCTGAAAATCCCTGAAGAAGGACTTCTGAAATTGGTGTTTCATTTCCTGGTTTTATGATGACTACCTGAAAAGAGGAAAATAAGTGATTTATAGTGATTAAATGCATAAAATAAAGTTATAAAAAAGATTTATAATTTCACATAAACAGTTATTACTAAACTAGTTGAAATACCATAGTTAATATTTTGCAGTCACAAAGTTATTTCCAAAATTTTTGTGTGGATCTAATTTCCTCTAGGTTTTCAAAGTGCACTCTCTACTTAGGACTTCCTATCTTACTTTTTTGTTTCCATAAATTATGTATTCTATTGGCTTTTTAACTTATTTATTGACAATCATTGTACATATTTACACAGTGCACTGCAATGTTTCAATTGTTTTTTGTTTTTTGGTTGTTTACATTTTGGCATAGAGCAGATGCACTTACCAGACCAAGAGTTGGCGAAGTGAGAAATCACAACCAAGGGGGAATGGCCACTGCTCAGTACCTTACCCCTCATTATTTTGGGTATGCATGCACACTATGTCCATACTGCTTGATCTGTGACTTGGCCTGCATAGTTGGACATTTTCCATTCAACCATCTTAACCACCACACCACCAGCTGGCACAATAACTATAACTTTATATCCATTGGAAATTAACTATTTCCCCCTTTCCCCAATCCCCTGACAACCCACCGTTCTGTTGTCTGCTTCTATGACTTTGACTACTTCAGATACATTAGGTAAGTGGAATCACAGTATCTTATTTCAAAGGTCTTCTGTAGTTCAGAATAGATCTCTCTTCATTTTAATCTCTTGACTAGTATTCAGACATTGATATTATAAGAGTCACAATTTGGAGGCCAGTAGGTGTCATAGTGGTTAAGGTGTTGGACTCCCACATGGCTAAATGTGGTTTGAGTCCCAAGCCCAGTAGCTTGAAAATCACACCAGGCATGTGTGTGTGCCCAAAATGCAAGAGAAAATGGACAAGAAGTGATTGCAGCATGGACATTGCCCCAGAGGGCAATTTCTCAATTCCCTCTATCTCTGTCTCTCTATCTCTCATCCCGTGGGGGAAATAAAAGAGAAAAAAATTTATTCCTACTTCTAATGAAGAATAATTTTTCTAGGTTAGTAAAACTTTGGGAGGGATGTGTGTGTATGCAATATGACTGACTACTACATATGATAGCACAAAATCTATTACCTTTTCACATTCACACAATGTATATCTCTACCAACCAATGAAATAACTCAATGGTATTCTGAAATTTTTATTTTAAAACTTCAATTCATTATTTTAATAATTTTATTATTATCCATACATTAAACCACTATACATCATTTAGATTGTGAAGAGACTTTATCCAGCAAGATATACACCTCAGTCCACCCTAGTTGAGACTATTATACATATCCTCGTCAAGAGATGATAAACCTTATCTGTGTCCCACAGGTGTCTTACCTCTCGTTTTTCCCCCAAAATTTCCTTTCCTACTCCCTTCCCCTCCTACACTCTCTTTCCAATTTATTGTTTTTAATGAAGAGAATAAAAATTACTCAGACCCCAGAATATAAAAACAAAATATGTGCACAATTTGCAATAAAATGTAAAGCTAACAGACTCACAAAATATTCAACTTCACCAGCAAGAAAATAGTTGTAAGTACAAACTCTGTAATATTCCCCATTTTGACCTTTGAATAATTTTTATGGGAATTCCCAATGTGAAAGCCAAAACTGTGAAATGTATGACTCATGAAATCTTATTGCAAGGAAACCATTCATCTTGATCTTCAAATAATAATAATAATAATAAAATAACAGGAACATGCACAAATACCCACATTTCAAAAATTCCTCGGCAGACTCAAAAGTCATTGTACATCCTCATCACAACTGATTCTATTTTTCCTACTTCTTTTTTTTTCTTTTTTTGGAGAAGTTTTTGCTATAGGGCGCATGCGCTCGCCAGACAGACGGAGAGAGACAGAGAGACAGAAAGCAAGAAATCACCCCCAGGGGGGATGGCCATGCCACAGTCCCTTCTCCTCCATTCCCCTCTTGGGATCTTGGGCACGCACGCACATGTGCCCGGCATGAGTTTAAGACACCGGGTCCGGGACTTGAATCGCAGTCGACTACGTGGGTGTCCAGCAACATAGCCATCACACTAACTGCTGGTCCCTATTTTTCCTACTTCTTGAACTGCAAATTTATGTGGACGCTGTTTAATTTGACTGAAATCATTTTATTACCCCCATTCCATCTTTATTTTTTTTTAGAGGATTTTGCTATAGGGCGCGTGCGCTCACCAGAAAGACAGAGAGAGACAGAGAGACAGAAAGCGAGAAATCACCCCCAAGGTGGGATGGCCAAGCTGCAATCCTTTCTCCTACATTCTCCTCTCAGGATCTTGAGTATGCACGCACATGCACCTGGCATAAGTTTAAGCCACCAGGTCTGGGACTACACCATGGCTAACTACATGGGATTTCAGCAACATAGCCATTACATTAACAGCTGGTCCACCCTCATTCCATCTTCATCCTCATCCAATGGGATATCTGTTCTCATCAGTAAATTGTCCACAGTGATGCCTGCATTGCTAAGTTTGACAGACACAGGATTGGTTAACACATTAAGTAAATTAATGATAATTAACTTGGACAGACAAGTAAGCAAACATATTAATTTCTTGGCTCTTTTTAGAATGGTTTGTTTCTCAGGTGATCTCAGGTAGATGTTCTTGGAATCCATTCTCTCTGAACCATTCCTGACATACCTATTGGGCTTTCAGACTCATTTATATGGACTCTTAGAGAGGACAGTATTGCTGTGGAAGGGTGAATTTTTCCCTGGAAGGTTGATGGTGAGCAAAATTTTGTCCCCAGACAGGACACAATGAAAGCATTAAGCATAGTCCCGAAGTCGGACTTGAGATTTCCAAAACATCAACTATGTCTTATCCAACCCAAGGCTGTACTCATTGAGGGACAATGGCAGATGAAATATTTACAGCTCCTCGTTAGGTACATTTATTCCTTATAACTACAACCACTTAGTACCTGATTTCCTTCATGGGCACTGGTCTGGAAAGAAAGGTAAATTTTCCTGTTGATTTGTAGTTCTCAAGAGATGAAGTTGAAAGTGTGATGAATCTAGTCATTACATGTTTTCTGTTAACTCTCATGCTGCCCAAGGTCATTAGCACCTTTCACCAGCTGTGAGTTAAAATTTAATTGTCACAGGTCAGCTGGAAACATGGAGATTAAGTACCAGATCCTTCATGACTGACTGTATGGTTCGAGTCACAGACATAGAATTTGAAAATCATGTTGGGCAGTTGTGCGTGTGTGTCCAAGGTTCTCAGAGGAGACTCGAGAAAGGATTGCAACATGGCCATCACCCTGGGGTTGAGGGAAACAACTCAGTTTTCCTTTCCTTTTTTTCTATTTCTCTTTCTCTCATAAGCACATGTCCCCTACACCAAAAAACTACAAGTATATGTTTTGATATGCATGTTTGTGTGTGTGTGTATGCACTATGTGACTGTATATATATATGTGTATATATGTATATATAGTCACATAGTGCATGTACATGCCTTGAAAAAAAATGTATGTTATAGAAATGTACAATGATTGAATATAAGTAACAAATCACATTTTTTAAATTTCTTTTTATTTCAATTTCTTTTATACATTCAATCTCATGTTACTTGGGTTACAAAGTAAATATCCCAACATGTTTACGTATCTCAGAAGTCCAGTTGACAATATTATAAAGTTCTCCTTAATAGATAATAATCCACTTCTTTGTCCCATAAGTGCCTTGCCTCTCTATTTTTCTCCTTAATGTCTTTTCTCAGATTCTAAAGTTGACCTGCCCTCTTCCCACACTGTATCTGATATTCACAAGCATTTACTAAGTTTTGATAACTTTTAGTCATTCAGATTTGGCCATAGAGTGTGGATACTTGTTGTACATTAAGTGGAGACATACAATGTCTCTCCTTTATAACCTAGCTTGCATTGCTCAGCAACAAATCTTCCATATTCATCCATTTTTTGTCAAAAGCCAGGGTGTTTTTGTTTGTTTGTGTTTTGTTTTGTTTTAATGACTGATTAGTATTCAATAGAATATGGATGTGCCATGCTTTTTCAATCCATTCATCTGTTTGTGGGCATTTGGGTTGATTCCATACCTTAGCAATTGTGAATAATCCTGCAATAAAGATTGATGTGTAAGCACTTTTCTGATTAAGGATTCCTTTGTCCTTTGGGTAGATACCCAGGAGTGGGATTGCTGGATCATATCGTAGTTCTAGTTGG